GAGGCGAGATCTGTCACCTAATTCTACAGAATTTTACTTAAAGGTTTGCCTCGGATGTGTTGCATTTACAGAAAACCTGTTTTCCAACACATTTCCCTGTAGCATACCCATCATGCATCTATTGAAAAGCCTGGAGCCGTTCAGTTATCTCTAAATACATCAGTAACCCAGACGTTCAACTCAACTGCTCCATGCGTTCCAAGCACAACACTGTCCAGCGGACCAGAAACGCTGCATGGGACTTGAAAACTTACATTAAAAAAATCTCTGCCAGTTTTTATCCCAGCACACCCCAAGTAATACACCCCTGCTATCCCGTACCACAGCCAGGCTGCAGCCAAACTACGTTCTTGTGAAATCATTCCAATAACGAAATATCAGCATTTTCTTTGCAAACCCTGGAAACTTGGACTAATCTTCAAACATAGTATAAACAAGTTAAGCAATGGGAATACATAAACTATGCATAATTCCTGAGCACAACGGGAGAATAATTATAGCAACAACATACCAAATACAAAATGAGCAGGGAGGCATGAAGAAACACCCAGACAGAATGTACCGAATTAAGGAAAAGGGGTCTATAATGTCTGTATAAAGCCAGATCAGGCACGGACCACAGTCGTCGTTGGTTTTTTAAGGGTCTATTTAAATCAAATTACTAAAACCATGGAAAGCGCCAGCCGATGAACACACGAGTCACTGCCAGCTCCATGTGCAGGCAAGACCAAGGCCAAGCTATGGGATAGTGAGCTTAGCTTTTGAGGAACACAACCCCTTGGAAAAATACCTTTGGGCAAAGTTAAAAACAACTTTTCTGGATGCCAGTCAGCAGAATGCCTTTTCAGGAGCTCTGTTCCTCAGCAGCTGAATCAGTACTTGGAAAGCAATTTTTTTTTAGAAAGAAAAAAAATGAATAGTGTGACAAACTCATTTTAGCATTCAGATTCAAACTAATGATCTGCAATTAAAAGAAAAATTGCTCAAAGACAGTTATGGTTAAGATTTTAATACGAGTCACAAAATACAATGGGAAAATGGGAATATGGCATACCACACAAGGAATAAAAATTTAAATTATTCACTTAACTTGCCAGTTTGAAAATGTTTAAAATGCTGAAAATTGAAAGCGGGGTGTGTGTGTGTGTGTGTGTGGTGTGTGTGTGATGCACTCCCATTACAGATGCTGAAAACTGCGAAACCTTTACTCATCTTCAGGAGCACCTTACCCCATTAACAGCCTTAAAGGAGTCAGCAGGCCCCAGTTACAGAGCACACGGAGTGAGTGACCTGTTACTCAAATGTTGGGTGTAGTATTTCAGTGAACTACATGTTCTTAAAGCAATGACTTGAAAGTTCTAACGATCTGTTAAATAAATCAAGCAAGTCAGGCTGTGGCTATGTTCTCGCTCGTGTATAGACTAATTCCATAAATTCCAGAATCCTGGAAATCACCAAGCTTTAGAGAAATACAGAATGGACATTACTTCATCTCCCATCTTCATAAACCAGTAACTCCCCTCACTATTACCTCGCTGAAGCAAGGGAGCCAGCAATACACAGGATACAAAATGTTTCGGCGATGGAGGCTTTGGGGTCAGGCAGTGAGGGCAACCACCTCTACCTCCTACCCTCCCCATCCCCGCGTGCCGACCAGCAACAGTCAAGGTCAAAACCAAAGAATAAAGACAAATGGACAAAGCAAGGTGAAAAATAAAAGCATTGCACTGGGGAGGAAACACCTATAGAAGTTTCTATCCCACGTCCTGGCATTTCAGTGAGCGCAGGTGAGGATACAAGCTAAGGCTCCTGTACGTCGTACAGTGGTCTGCGATTCTGGGAAATAAAGATACCTCAGTCCCTGACAAAATCCTTACTTCACCTCTTGATCTGCTAATGGTTCCCAGAAGCAAGCATGGATATAAAAGCTCATCTGTTAGAGGACAACTTGAAACAAATACAAGACTTAAATGAAGGCAAATATCCAAGTTACAGAGAACATAAGGGCTCCTTAATTTTACATTTGGATAAAAAACAATACTATGTGGACATTCTCCAACATATTTTTTAATGTTATTAACAGATATAGCACCCCAGGCTGTGCTCAAGCAGAAAAAGTGTGAATCTGTTTACGATATGAAGTGAAAGGGGGAATCAAAAATACCATCTTATTAAATGGTATTTATTTGGTGCTAGGCACATTATTTATTCTATTGAGAAATTCACAAAATGACAGAGGGGTAACCGTAAGTAAGGGCACTACTTAACGTCAGTATCAAAGCTGATCCTTAACAGAACTTAAGCACCTGCCTTTTCTTTTTATCTCAGCACAAAATGAGATTTTCTTTTTTTTTTTTTTCTTTTTTTTACACTTCAAAAGCCATGTAACATAGCAAAATATACACCAAGCATGAAGGAACAGAGAGTATGCCAGCATCTTTCAGCAATCATCTTTCCCTTGTCATCCATTATGTCAGATTTATCTATTTTTGCTTAATTCTTGTTCCAGCAATACGCATCCTTCCTCTCTCCAGACAATCAGGCTGGTTGGGCTTGAACTCAATATGGCTTCTTAAAATAGTTGAGAAATGTTGAAAATATTTGAAGCGGTGCTTGTGAATTACAGCCTATTCATCAACCCATCTTCTAGCTCCAGCTCAACCTGCGACTCCCCCAGAAAAGGGTCAATCTCTGATGTCTTCACCTCAGAAATTCTACCCAACTGCACAGTGTAAATATAATTTTAAAAATAAACAGCCTTTCTTTTAAGGAAGCATTTTCCCCCAGAAGCTTAGATCCTATATTCATCACAAATCTTACCCTCTGTTTGTTCTGACTGTTAGTTGCTTTTGATCCAGACCTTCCTCTACTAAAAATTCCCGATCAGTTAATTCACCACTGCTTGCTTTCTGTTGTTGCTGCTTTTTTCCCCCCCCAGTTTTTGGACCCTCTGGACTGGCTTTACCAGACACGAGATCCACCTGTATGCTCTCCCTGCATCCTTCACTCCTCAGACTTCTGGCTGGGAGAGTCTGCTCTCTCCACCTCTAATATCTGTAATACGCTACAGCAGCATCTTTCGCTACTGCTTTATGTATTTACTTAAACAAACGGACTCTAACAAGTTCGAATTCTTTAGGTGGGAAAAGACCTGATGAGAAATACATGCGCTGAAAGGAAAAAGCAACTATCATCACTATATTCCCTTACTGCCTACGTAGCACCGATCACGGAATTTTCTCAGTCGGCTGCTGAATCAGACGGAGTTTCTACAGCGCACACACAAAATCACGAAGCCTGACACGTCCAGTCGGATTTATTCAATCACATAGTCATCACCTTTGCTCCAGCACAAATGACATCACTCGGGAACCCAACCTCATCTACTGAGAGCGTGCTCTCCTGAAGCTACCAGTTCAACAAAGAACTGGGTTTGTGAAATAGAGGGGTAAAAGTATGGCTGGAAAAAGTTTTCCAAATAAACTTATGTTTTCTTGAGACATTGCAATTAAAAAAAAGGAAATAATTTGGACTGGGAGAAGAAGTGGGGGCAATGAATCATTACTGAACTAACTAACCTGCATCTGCAATTTAGCCTAAAACTTGCACCTTGCAATTAGAGGCGATACCAAGAGGAGGATAAAACACATCCGTAAGCTCTCGCAGGTGCTGCTCTGGGAAGATCATACGCTGCATGTCCAAAAGCATTTAAGCACTTAAGCTTGCACGAGTGGACTGAAAACGGATAAGTCAAGCTCTGCAGTTTTCTTCATGCTTGCATTAAGATGCTTGAAAAATGGTTGGTAGGAAATAAAAACGACGAGAAACATATTAACGATATCCCTTGCGAAAAGACACCTTCCTCGGGAAAAGAACTACACAAAGGATTCGCCCACATTGCAACCGCAATCCCCCCCCCCCCCCCCTTTTTTCCCCCGGAGGCATTTCTCTGTCGCGACGGCTGACGTGTTATCGCGATTCCCTCTGTGTATTTGATAGCGAGGGAAAAGGGATTTTAAAGCTCCAGGTGCCGGGGTTGCAGAGGGGCCTAAGGCGGGCGGGCTGCTCTTACCACCACCACCTCCCGCTCCGTCTCCCCCAAAGGCGGAGCCGGGGAGCTCCGGACTGAGGGGAGGAGGCCCCCGGGGAGGCGGGTGGGCCGGGGCCGCTCCCGGGAGGCGGCTGGGGGACGGGACGCGGGGC